TCTCCGTGAATTTTTAAGTTAAATACAACTGTAATATATCAAAATCTAAGTTAGTCCTTCCTCTATTTAATGCAAGTTATTTCTCTTTAAAAACTTTAGTTGTTTAGAAGTTATTACGAATCAAACAGGAGTACTTTTTTTTGGGCCACCCGGTATAATTAGATTGTTGTTGTCGTTGTGTGAAATTTAAATTTCTCCTGCGACATTTTGATTGGATACTAAATATAAACTTTACTGTGGGTGGAAAGCGATCGGATTAAGGATTGTGTCAGGTTATTTTTTTTTTAATAGAGCCTGATCACAGGTTACATTAAATCAAAGAGCGCAAGGTTTTTTTTGGGACACCCGGTGGTACTTAGTACCGACAACACAAAGCAACAATGGAATGGGATTTTACTACTAAAATGTTTACACTTTATACCCAAACCGGCACATAACAAGGATTAAAAACATCAATATCAAAACAATTATTACGAACTTTGTTTCACGGTTGTTGAACCGTCATTAATTCATGAAACTGCAGGTTTATTTCCAGTTATAATCGGAAAAAAAAAACGTTTTGTACTTTTGCAAACATTTTTTTGCGAAATTTAAAACAAAAACTTGCTGTGAAACAGCAAAATACGTCCTTTCAAAATTAAAAACGATTATTTAGCGAGAGCTTGTACTAACGCATGCGCGTAACGTCGAAAAGCGTCCATGACTTTAACAAAATAGAGGATATTACATGGCGGCGCGAAGCTACCACTTTTATCTTTTGAAAACGACATTTTACGAACGAACGCAGCGAGTGAGTAAAATGTTGTTTTTAACACGAGAAGATAAAAGTCATATCTTCAAGCCATCGTGTAATGTTCTGTTTATTATATAGTCCCAAGCAAAAAATTGTGAAAATTTCATGTTCAAAAGCAAATTGGAAAAAGTCACGCGATCTATGTCTTCACTAGTGAAGATATGGAAAATATCTCACTGTCTTTTTTTCAGTATCTCACTCTCTACTACATAATAATCTTGTATAATAAATTTTAATAATAATCTTTCTCTTTTCCCGTCTGTAATCCCAGGTCCGTGACGTACACTAAATGGAGCCTTCTGATTGGTTGACAAGAAGTCCGAACCGCACGATACGGACCTCTCGAACACGTTACTGACCTGTCACATTTAGCGCCAAAACAAACCGAGGAGTGAAGACAAACTGAACAAATTATCTAAAATGTTGAAAAACCTTCCCTATCGATGCTAAAGATAGAAAAATAACCTGAACTGACTTCAATGGATTTAGTGTCAAGCCCGAAATACACTTTTTTCCCACCAAAATGCGAAAAATATTTCTTTGACATATACTGCAAGCATCGAAAATTAATCAGTTACAGTGCTAAATGTTTAGTTTGAAAAGCACAGCATACGTACATGTATGTTCAGCTATACTTCGAAAAATATACGTTAAAACATAAATACAGAAACCAAGAACTTATCCTGAAACATAAAAGTTTAAAAAACAGTTGAAACGGCAGTTTCGACATGATTTCTAGACTTATTTCCGTCATATATTTTATAAATGTTGTCATGAACAGTGTTTTCGCGAAGTAAGCTACAATTTTTTGCTACGCGTCGACCGAACATTATTGAAGGCTAAAACGATCAGGAAAACAAATTGTTTTAATCAGTTTACATTTTTAATGTCTTGTTAAGTAGAAAGGCATTTATTGCACTAAGAAAAGGTTTTATCGTGTCGTTTTAGCAATGTTAGCCATGCTTGGACGTTTTTTGAGAGTATTTCTTTAGGAATTTAACCAAGCATCGAGCAAAAAAATAAATACGTTATTTACCGTTAAGGTTAGTCCGTACTTGAAAAATATTTTCCTTCGATCTTAGAAGCGTCCATAGACCTTCGGTTTCGGGCCGCTCCTGAGACCTCGTGAAAATGTTTTGCAGTACAAACCTCCCAGCCAGTAAATAACATAGATTTATTTTTTAGGATGTGGTTCGATTTGTCCAAAAAATTATATATAATCTCTCTCTCTCCATACATAAAAAGTTGATTTTCCGAAATTTAGAAGCTCTGTCCAACAGACGATCGCGGTAGACGTACCAGGCACAGGAATATCAGCGAATGAACGCTTTTTGTAACTGCGAATGCAGATATATTGCTATTGTGCGCGTACCGGAAGTTTGTAAGCGCGTCCTTAGCCAATCAACGACAGCGAATAGACGAAATGACGTAATGATAATAATTTCAGAATGGCGGTTTACTGAAGGGTGAAACAAAGGGAAATTTTGGAATTTACAATTAAACATCAAACGCAGTCAAAATAACGTCATTTTAAGCCTGGTTCACATATATGCATGCGACGTACCGGCGACGATACCAGTGCTATCTTTAAAACGTAGATTATGTGAACACTTGTTCGCCGATTGCCGCCAGTGACTATGTTACATCGGCGGTAGGCCGGGGAAGTTGACTTGAGTTCAACTCTGTCGGTAGTTTGGCGGCAAGTAGAGGCATAATGATACAGTCGCAGGCATGGCGCAGGCATATGTGAACCAGGCTTTACTAGTCTGATTATGGCAAATGTCGATAGTGTATTTTTGGCAAGCATATGAGGGGTTTAATCATTTAATACGCAGTGCAAGGAAAATTATTAGCATTTTTGACAAGAAATTAAAATTATTGACTAATGCTATTACGAAACTATAAAAGTAATGATTCTTCTTGGTAACATTAATTAATATAAATTAGTTGAATGACACCAACAGAAGGCCTTTATATACTTTATCAATGATCATAACTATAGACAATTGATGTCTGCTTTCATTACAGACAAGCAGACTTTGATAGATCATTTTTATACAAATTTAGCAGAGTCAAAAGCTAAGTGTAATCTTCATTGAAAATAACAGATTATGGACTCACCGTCGGATATCCTGTCTGCGCAAACCGCACCTTCTCCTGTTTCATCATCCTCATCATCATCATACTTATCGTCATCATCAACATCATCATCATCTTTAGAAGAAGAACCTAATTGTAAAAACAGCTGTATGTAAAACAGGGGACGTCGACTTTCGTCGCAAACATATTCGCCCAACTTTCCACTCCCGTCTCGCCGCGTCTAGATCAATTACCACAATAACATCTCCTCTTTGTTGGTAAAAAACATTTCTTTCGAGATCCAATGTGTGGAAGATATTCTTTTATCCATCGTCTCCATACGTGTCGCACTAACTCTTGGATCCGTCTCCACCGCTTCTTGGCATTGAATACTGTCGTATCTACGTTCTCGGGAACAATATCTCCTCCCATTTTCCCTATGAGAAAATGGTTTGGCGTAAGTACAAGTTCGTCATTAGGATCATCACTTATCGTTGTCAATGGTCGAGAATTTAGTAGACTTTCAACTCCAGTGAAAACTGTTTGTAATGCCTCATCATTGACGTCCGCGTTTGGCAAAACTGCAGGAATTGCTCGTTTGGCTGACTTTATCATACTCTCAAAGACCCCGCCGAAGTGTGGAGCTGCGGGCGGATTCCAATACCACGTAATGCCTTTATTCTCAGTTGCTCTCTCTATTCGCTTCTGGTCTAGTTGTTCAATTAATGCACGTATTTCTTTTCCTGCGGCAACAAAATTCGTCCCGTTGTCACTTAACATCTTCTTTGGCCATCCACGTCGGGCGGTCATCCTTACAAAAATGCATTCATAAATCCACTGACGTCATGTGACGACGCCATTTCTAGATGACAGCAGTGAGTCTGTAGACATACAAAAAGACACAAATATCGTTTAGCTCTAACCTTTTCCCGTCCTTGTTTTGTAAAATAAGGTCCTCCATAATCGGTTGCGCAGTTTTCGAACGGCCTGCCAGTCATTTCCAGACGAATGTCCGCCAATGGCGCCATTTGCTGTGTCTTACGCCGTAATCTAAAACGTCGAGAACTCACGGCACAACTACTCACACAACGTTTGACCTGTTGACGAGCGTGCAGGACTAAGTACTTCTCTCTTAGATGGTTGATCGTAAAGTTCACGCCCATTTCATGATGCTCAGTCTCATGGTGATACTTGACAATAAGACTCGTCACATGGTTTTTCTTTGGCAATATTATTGGAAATTTCACTTCGTTCGAAAGTTCCTTCGCATTTCGTAATCTCGTATTCGACCGTAACATTCCATTCTCGAGCCTTGGATTTAACTTTAATAAAGAGCTGCTCTTGGTACCGGTTTACCTTTCTTGAACGCAGCAATCTCTTTTGCAAAAGATTTCTCTTGTGTCTCTTTGATTGTGTCTTCCTCGCTAATGATCAGCTCCATTGGTGTTAATTCCCCGGTTTCTCTGTTCTCGCGCGTTCTTTTACAATTCCGGATAAACCGATTAACCTAACTTCGCACTCGCACGATCGATAGTCCTACTTCACATTTCCCTGGTTGATTTATTCTATACCATTTGGAGTGTCTTGTTGGCTCGAGTCTCCACACCAGGTCCACCTCGTTAGCCATAAGAGTTCTGGGTTGGGATTCGTCTACCGACTCTTCCGATCGAGAAATACATTGTTCAAGTCTGTTGCGTCTTTAACTCTTGACTTGAATCTGGTGTATTCGAAGATCTTCGTTCCGGCCATTTATCTTCCGTATCGCATAGGAATTGTGGGCCATGCCACCACAGTTCGTCGCTAGCTAACTCCGAACCCGATGTTCCTCGAGTACCGCGATCTGCAGGGTCTTCTTTCGTCGATACATATCTCCATTGATATGGGCTAGAATGTTCGTGTATTTCGCCCACTCGATTCGCTACAAAAGGTTTATAGTCCCGACTCTGTCCTTGAATCCAACAGATGACGTTCAGACTATCGACCCAGAATGTAACTGTGCTCGGCAATACATTCATGACTAAGCATATTTGTCTTGACAATCTTAACCCGATGATAGCTCCCATAAGTTACAGTCGCGGAATGCTGATTGCCTTGAGAGGCGCCAATCGTGTTTTCGATGCAATAAGCCTTACTGTCACTCTTCCATCAGGAGATTCGTGCCGGCTGTAAACCGTAGCTGCGTACGCCTTCTCGGATGCACCTGTAAATGCATGCAAAGTTAATGCTGTTACGACTTGTTCCGTTAATTTCAAACATCAAGGAACCTTAATCTGCTCAATTCCACGAGCTTCATTAAACCACTGTCTCCATTGTGTTATGAGATGATTCGGTAATGGGTCATCCCATTCGATCGCTTCTAACCATGCTTGCTGAACTAAAATTTTAGCTCGAATAATATATGGCGATAATAAGCCAAGAGGGTCGTATATCATCGCTGTCATTTTCAATACATTACGCTTAGTGTACTCGAAATTCTCGGGAGGCGATAAGCATCGGAAGAAAAACAAATCTTCCGTTGCTGTCCATAGCACGCCTAAAGTCTTTGTCACCGGGAAAATGCACTTGTTTAAATCTACTTCTGACGCTTGATCTATCGCTCGAATGTCCTCTAGAACTTCGACTCGATTCGATAACCACTTCCGAATATGGAATCCTGCTTTATCACCAAGCTTCGATAATTGTTGTGGTGTTTCCTTTGCTTCTTCGATCGTTGGCAGAGATGGCATCAAATCATCCATGTAACAATGATTCTGAACTGCAGTGGCTGCCAATGGGAATTCATCTTTGTGAATCTCGGCATGCATTTGCCAAGCATACTGAGCACAAAACGGACAATAGCAACCTCCAAATATAAATCGCAGAAACTCGTACACTTCCGGTTCCTTCGACTGATCTAAATCTCAGCACAGAAATCGATGCGGCGGTCTATCCTCTGGTAATAACACAAGTTGGTGGTACATTTGGCTAATGTCTCCAACTAATACAACCAATTCCTGCCTAAAGCCAACTAGAATTTCAAATACATTGCTCTGCAACTTCGGGCCGGTTGATTGTTGAACAATGATTCGGTGTTTAAACTTTTTCCTTCGCACGTAGCCGAACCGTCAAAAACAACACGAACTTTAATAGTTGTTTTCTCTGGTTTTACCACGGGAAAGTGAGGTAAAAACCACTCAGTTTCCGGTACTGACTCATCTTGTACAACTTTACGGATATATCGATCCTTTCTCGAGGTAATCTTCGATTACACCTTGGTATGCCCTGGCGGCCAGTTCGTTATCTCGTAACAACTTCTGCTCAACTGACTTGAGTCGCTTTTTTGCTATCGGTAAATTAGTTGTCAACTGGGGTCGGTCGTCGTTCCATGGCACCGCAATCTCATAACGTTCTCTGTTAAATCGCAGTGAGCTCTGAGCTTTCTTCCATGCCAATTTCTCGATTGGTGTCATTTCAGTAATGTTTGATGTTGTTATGCCGATTGATTCAAGGTCCCAAAATGTTTAACAGTTGAGTTCAATTCTCCATCCGCCTGACCTTGCCCAACTACCGAATGGTGGGTTTCTTCACTATGTGCATGGAAAGTTCGTATAAACTTCGTGTTAGATTGCTCCAACCTACCAGCCTGGTCAATTCTTCCAATGGCTGTCAAACCAATGGGACACAATCGAGCACTTGGCTCATTCTCTTTTCCTGGAATCTCTTTCATTGGAAACATCAGATGGTAGTAATTTGATCCGAGCAGTACATCAATGGTATGGGTTTGAGCAAGTTTTGGAAATGGGATTTCTTTCATGTGATCCCATCTGTCTTTAATCTTTACCCAATTAGTAGGCTTCATTCTTCCACAGATCTTTTGAGATGTCTTAGCAACAATGACACTGTCCACTTTTCCATCTACACTTTCGATTCCGATCTGGACTGTTGTAGACATAAAGGTAACTTGATGAGCATTAGCTACTTGTACGGTCACTGGTTCTCTCTCTTCTCGAAGCCCAAGCTGCTCGATAACATCCTCGTTTACATATGTAGTATCGCTTCCCTCATCCAGAAAGCAGTTCACTAGTAGTCGTTTCTTACCATTTTTCAGAATTATTGGTACTGTCCGAAGAGCTACTGATTTTCCTTCATGTTTGCCGACTGTCTCCATAGTGATTTTGTCACCGGCATCCCCTCCGTGGCGGGTGGTGGGTCTTGGGTTGGTGGTTTTGGGTTTGGTACTTCATGTAACAATTGGTGGTGATTCTTGTAGCACCCTGTGACTGGGCAAACACGACTTCGCTTCTTTTCCAAGGTGATTATATCCAAGGCATCGGTAGCACAATCCAGCACGTTTAGACATTTCCCATTTCTTGTCACCAGACCACGCCTTCATAAATATTAGACATCGCCAAATAAGATGTGTTTCTCCACAAGCTACACAAGGCTTTTCGTTCTTGCCATGATTCTCCATGTTACTTGTACCAAACGACTTGTCGAATCGACCCATGTAATCCCTTCGTCCTGATTTCTCATCACCTTTTCTGTCCTCTCTTCCACGGTCGAATCCCCGTTTACTCTCGGCTGCATGCGTTTGGTATTCAGCTTCCTCCGCAATCCAACAGTTCAAAGTTTCCAAAGATTCTTCCTTTTTCTGTTCTTTGAGCCATCGATAATACTGACTGAGAAGCATCTCCGGGACCTTCTCTAATACAATACCATAAAGGTACCTGCCTTTAAATCTGACTCACGCTTGTTCTCTTTCAATGTGACAACAGTACGCTCCAAAATATCCGCAAACTTTTCGAGCTCTTTCGGGTTTCCCTCTGAAATCTGTCTCATTCGCCGTAATTCATCCAAATGTGCTTGGACATTTCGCCTAACTTATTTATTTCATATTTTCTTATCAATCGATTTTTCGCAGCTTCATATGCAACTTCCGAGTATCCCAAACCTTTCACCGTTTCTGTTGCCTCCCCTTCCAAACAACTTTCCAGTCGTAGCATTTTAAATTGTGGATCCATCGAAGTTTTATCAATACAACTCGTAAATGCTGCAAACCACTGTTGAAACTTTAACTTGTCACCATTAAATACAGGAATTCGAATTCGTTCTAACTGTCGATGTTCACCCTTCGCATTTAGACCCCTCGTTCAACCCACTACTGCCCTCATTTACTTCCGGTGTCGCCACTTCCTTTGCTTGTGTCAATGCGGTCTTGTTCAAATATGTTCTAATATTACTCGTTTCCCGATCGATTTTGTCGTTAAATTCTTCGTACTCGTCGCCGTATTGTTTCGCCATTTTTGAATCCTTGTTCTTGTCACAACGAGTCTCTAATTTCTCTAAAATAGAAAGCACTTCTCGCCTTAACTCTTCGACTCGCTCCAAATGAAGTTTAACTTTCACTTTCTTGGTTTCCGCCTCGGACATTACTGTAGCCAGCTCTGTTAATACCTTTGTCATATTTGCTTTCGCTACTCTTTTAGCTTTCTTCAATTCTGGAATCGTCGATGTTGCCATTTTGTCGAGAACTGTGATTATTTCAAATCATAAGTATTGAGTGTTCGATCCAAATCCCGTGATTTTGTCGCTATATACAGTATGTTCGTATATTAAAATCCGTATAAAACTCGTTGTTATATAGCTAGCGTGAACACCAAACGTGATTGGCTGATTTGCGGTCACGTGACTTCAGATAAATGCAATGTTTCCGGCCGGCCAACAAGTGAAAAATTGTTGCCCGCCCCGACCGGCCACGTACATAAATAAACAAAATGGAGGCAAAACTCAGATAATTAGAAACTACGATTTTCCAAGTTTGTGTTCAAATAAAGAATATAAGAGAGAAGAAAAATACACAACAGGCAACAGGGTATGCTGCTGAAACCGTTTAAGTAGGTTCTTTTAATTTTAAGCTCGTTTACACTATAGAGTTTTTGTCACGAAATACAATTGTTGCATGTTGAAGTTGATTTTTGTTCGACGCTATATCACAAAACACTTAATGCCTGTTCCCTCGGGAAATAGTTAGTTTTGTTTTCCCTCGAATCTTAATGTTTCCCTCGACTTCGTCTCGGGAACATTGTGATTCTCGGGAAAACAAAACTAACTATTTCCCTCGGGAGCAGACATTAAGTGTATAATATTCCGATGCGAAATCTACCCGATTATTCGCTGGTTCTCCACTAAAACATTTCGATTATAATCCGACTCGAAAGGACCATTTGTTCCTTCAATTTCGACGATATTTTATGCATAAAAACAGACAAAACTTTTATTTACTTTTACAGAAAAACACACGAAAACATTACAGACAAACAGATATTTTGTAACACTTCAGGTAATGTCGAATGTAGCGTCTCTATCGAACATTCTTAGATCCTTTTAGAGACATTTAGTCCATAGTATTTTAAAATTTTCTTAACTTGTAATTGCAAGCGTAATTCAGCCTATTGGCTGCAATGTCTACATGAAATAAACCATCTTAATATTTAGCTATACATACATACCGCAATTTTCGGAATCTTCTCCTTTTTCGGAAAGAGAGCCCTCACTTCCAGGAGAATCGTCATCTGCTTCAGTAATCCTGCTTTCACCAAAATTGATACTCTTTCTTGCTTCAATAAAAAATAAATATAATGTGTGTAATACACATGATGTTGCCATATGAACTGGCCTAAATATTTCAAAGTGCTTAAGGTGGCTCGATACATTAATCCACACAAAATCCGTTATACAAGAATCGCGAGAACAAAACTTTCTTTTATATGAATAAACTCGCGTGACCATTCGTGTCCGCGAGAATGTTAACGAATTAAATCACTTACATGTATGACCTGACGTGGCGACTTGCTCACGCCATCTCGCGCCATTGCACATGTTTATAACGCATTGCATGTAAATTGCTAACGTCATTAGAAATGCCATTTAAAAAACACAATGCGCTGTATCTCATTATTTCGTGGGGTGACCTATCCTGAAATTTTGCACACTGCATTGTACTGCAATATACCGAAATAAAAAAATCTTAACTGAAAAAAAAATATTATTGAAGAAAGCGGCATTTTTGCGGTTTTCAAAAAACTGCTATTACAGAATTTTTTTATATTTTGCTTATTGTTAGTGTATGTTCTAAGTAAAATTGTGCGCGAAAAAAATTGGGCATCACCGTGATTTTTTTCCAACCACACAAAAAAATCGGCTATTTTAGAGTGAATTTTAAATGCGTGTGTTGCCATAGCAACGCAATAATTATGTGTTACCAAAACTGACATAAATTGAAAGAACATCAAAATAGATGGACGTCCTGATATCTGCTGCATAAAACCTAAAACTACGACTTTTGCAAACGTCAAACTATCATACACTTGACGTTTTGAAAACTGTATCGAGCCACCTTAGACAATCTGTAAATCGTACTCTCAAACGCGGAAATTATAAAAATCCTCGAGGGTATAAATTCCACCAGGATATTAACATCTGGGAAAAGTAAGGTTGTACATTGAAAAGTGCATAAATGATCGCGGGCGCGTGACTACGGTTAATGGTGGACCTCCCACTCATCTCAAATATATGAGAAATATCAATGAGAAACCCTACACATCGTTTATTAGGACGAGCGGAGAAACATGCAGTATATACGTCTTAAACAAGGCCCGTTTATACTTGGAATTTTCACTGCGATTTTTACGGCGAATGCTTGGCTCAAGTTTACAAATACAAATATTTTGTGCTAATTAGGTTGTCTACGGCTTTATCCTTTAGTTACATGTTATCGTGATTGGTTGTAGGAAGAAATTACCGAATGATCGGCCAGTGCTTTATAATGGGGACGTCTCTGTTGTCAATTTTATTGGTGTGACAAGCGAGATGTTTCCATGAAGGCATCGCAGGCTCAGGGTGCAACGATTAAGCCAAAATACCATCGACTCCTTAATATGTTCTAAAAACAAGTTCTTATTTATATACAATCTCGTTCCCAGAGTACAGGGAATAAAACAATATAAATCGAAGGATATAATATTATAATCGCATGAAAAGTGTTGGGACGTTGGATATGTACTTACAAAATGACTTTTTATCGATCTACAGTATGAGTATATTCATTATAACCATGAAAGATTTGGCTAAATGAAATCATCGCACACGTTGTCGTTGTTTTGTTAATTTTAAATTGACATATTGTTGCCAGGACTTTGGAGTGACAGCTTTTTCTTGTGTTAAAAACTTGAAGCTTTAAACAATACAGTACATTATGGTCAACACTCAACATGTTGTAGCCTGTAATCTTTGTGCTTTTGTAAATGGAGTTATCTATATAAATTTAAGATGCCAGGTGTTTTTGTAGCATCTGTATAAATTATAGAATAATTGATTTGATTTAAGAAGTTCCTTAGGTTGTAAAACATTTGGTTATTGACTTGCTTTGTAAGTGATTGCCACTTGACAGCATATGATGGGCTGTTCCAATTTAATATCCGTACACCCCCTGTCGAGGATACATTTTTTTGGTTATACCCTGAAGAATTTCAAACTCAAAACCTTTTACCCCTGAAGAGTTCCAAAATTCCAAACTCAAAACCCTTTACCCCTCTGAAGAATTTCAAGCTGAAAATCTTTTACTCCTGTTCAAAGAATTCCAAAAATCCTTTACCCCTGAAAAATTCCAAACTCAAAACCCTTTACCCCTGAAGAATTCCAAGCTCAAAACCCTTTACCCGCAAGAATTCCAAACTTGAAACACTTTACCCCTGAAGAATTTCAAGCTCAAAACACTTTACCCCTGAAGAATTCCAAGCTCAAAAGGTAAGGCTATAACTAAGCCAAACATGAAACAATTTTTGCATCAATTTGTGTCTGGCTAAAAAATAAGTAGTGAATTTAAATACAGGTGTTTCCTTGTCTGTTGCCATGTGAAACAATGTTGTTTATAGCAATAAGAGTCATTGTTGATCAATAACAATGCTCATTTGCTACAAATATACAAGTATTGATCCCATTTCCAAACTATTATACTATGTGAATATATTGGCAATTAATCCAATTATATATACCAGTTTCAATAACTACTTTTATTTCTATGTCAAGCCTCCTGGGTATTATTGTTTCCTAAGCATCATTGAGGGGGCACTTGTTCTAAATATATGCAATAAGTCTGGTTACCATTAAAATATGTCCATATTCAGAGTTACCGTTGTACTATATTTTATTAAAATGCTGCAGAAATGCAATATATTTCATGATGTTAAGAATTATTTGAATGGGGACTGCATGGTTAAAAGAGGAGG